GGGGGGGGGGGGGGGTAAATAACCCCAATAACCACCCTTATTTACGCCACTGCCGGGTAACTTCTTGTAATTGGATGAAATGTTCTTGAAGGATTTTCAGCATTTTTACTTTTTCTTTTTTACTTTTGATACAACTTTTTATCTTAAACAAAAATGTGTTCTGCATTATTTTGTTTAATCACATTGGGTTTAAAAAATAGAAAAAACCAAAATGTTAATCGGTAAAACAAACAAAGCTCATAAACTCAAGGATGATCATTCTATGATCATCCTGTGATCTCTAGGATGATTGAGGAAACGGATCAAAAAAAACGGGAAATTCCTCTAAAAATTGGATTTGAGGGATTTCCGATAATTTTTATAAAAACAGGAAACGCCTCAAAAAAATTTATTTTAGGGAGGTTTTGGATCCGATTCCATGTTGAGGTGTTTCCGTGTTGAGGCGTTTCCATAGCACCAAAAGTATCAGTTGCTCCTTAAACTGCCATTTTTCTTTGTAAATGGTATTTCGCGTATGTCTCTTTTTAAATTTGCACATAGTCATTAATCTATATATAAATTTAGCTTGTCTGTCTTGGTGTCTTGTATCCAATAAACGTCAAAACGGCTGAACCGATCAGGCCCAAATTTTGTGTGGGACCTCACGTGGCCCAAGGGAAGGTTTATGGCCAATCATAATTTAATTGAATATGTAATCTTAAAATAATGTTATCTTAAATTATTTAATTTGGTAAAATTTTTAAAATGCGTGAAAAATATGAAGAAATCCGCAATTTTTTTATATTTTTTTTATTCTGTACAGAGAGAAGATTCTCACAGATAAAGCCACAATTAAAAGTAAAAAAAAAGATGACGCTAAGCACCATAAAAACCAAGTATGATAGAATTAGACATTTTTCCAGGAACATATTTCATCTTTAACCGTCCATAAACCTTCCCTTTGGCCATGTGAGTTTTGTGCTCAATCGGTTTCTACCGATTACGTTTATTGGATACAAACGGAGAGACGTACAGACAAGCAAAGTATAAAAATACCAGGCTTCTATGGTGTTTCGCGCCCATCTTCAATTTTAATTTTTAATTGTTACTCTTATTGCGGCATATTCTCTTTTTAAGTTATCAAACAATAATAAATTTTTTTTTGCAGATTTTCATTTTTTGTCGATTTTGAAAATTTTTAAAAATTTTTGTAAAAGGTTATAGTTTACAACTGTTCATTTTGAAAAAGTATTAAAATTTTATGAAATAAGGTTAAAAAGCAAGAAATTTAGCAAACAATTCTTCAAACTGAACCATTTCATTTTTAGGCTTGATTTTTTCAGGTAGGGAGGTTAGTTGTATCTTGAAAAAAAAGATGAATAAAGATTTAAATTTATTTCTTTAAAAGTATGTGGTAGCGGGGGAGGAAGGTGGGATCTCAGAAAAAAAAGAAATTGAGCAAAGATTTTTTTTGTTTTTGTTTAGCAGTATGTAATAGTGAATGTTGAGATGTTTATATCAATTTGAAAAAGAGCAAAGTAGTTGTAAGGATAGTTGGAATTTGAAAAAAATTAACATGTTGAGAGGTTTATAGTATTTTTTTAAAAAACCATTTGGCAGTGACAGTAGTGGGGTCTAGAAAACAAAGAAAAATATTATCAAAATAAAAACTACTTTTTTTACATAATTCTACAATAATATGCTCCCTGGCTCACAAGTCTTTCATACATTTCAACTTGGGTTGAAACATATTTCAACTTGGGTTGACACATATTTCAACTTGGGTTGAAATATGTTTCAACTTGGGTTGAAATGTGAACTGGAAGTTACTCGACTAGTAGTCCTATCTACCTATACTCTAAACTAAAGAAGCTTTCCTCTCAATGTGCACAGTTTTAAAGCAGACATCATAAGGGGTACTATACACTAACAGAAGAGGTTACATGTTTGTATAAAACTTAGTAATCTCTGTTCTTTTAGTATGCATTTTAAAATATTTTAAAATTTCACGCAAAAATATTCGCCAATTTATAGCACGTTGTATTTCTAAAATGTACAAGGTTAGGGCTAACAGTACCGGATCAGTAACATTTTGTATAGTACATTTTCGTATAGTAACATTTGGTCTAGGTAACATTTCGTATAGTACACTTTGTATAGGTAACATTTCGTATAGTACACTTTGTATAGGTAACATTTCGTATAGGTTACATTTTGTCAAGATAACATTTGGTATAGATAACATTTGGTATAGGTAACATTTGGTATAGGTAACACTTAGGGTAATTTCTCGTATAAATGTAAAAATAAAGATGAAAAATGAATCACCAAATATCAGCTTTTTTATTAAATATATTTAATGTACATGTTCATTTTTTTGCAGTTTAATTAATTATCCGATTTTTGAAGTTCATGAGCCACCTGCTGCAGATATTCTTTGCAGAACGCCAAACTGTTCAGTATGAAACTTAAGACGTTGATGATTGGCCATAGTTCTCTCCTTCCTTCCTGTATTTTGATGCAGATACTGTCCAATTGCATTCGACAACAGGATTCTTCTAGACTCTTACTCTGTCTTGATAAAGGCAATTATTACTCCAGTACTATTAAAGGTATATTTATGATAGTTGTTATCGATTATTGCATCCTTTCCACGAGTAGACTTAGTAAGTCTTATCAGAGACATGGTTGAGGTTTTTGTTATACTTTTGCGGATTTTCTTTAAATGGTTCGCAGTTTTCTTAATGAAATATTCATGGTTTTCTTACAAAAATATCTCGACGTTCTTTAATTTTTACATTTATACGAAAAATTACCCTAAGTGTTACCTATACGAAATGTTACCTATACCAAATGTTATCTTTACCAAATGTTACCTATACGAAATGTGACCCATACAAAATGTTACCTATACCAAATGTTACCTAGACAAAGTGTACTAGACCAAATGTTACTATACGAAAATGTACAATACGAAACGTTACTGATCCACAGTACCAAGAGTTAATAATTTTAAGTTTCAGCGACCAATTAGCGACACTTCAAAGTCTACCCAGTCTATTAAAGTTTGGTGATTTAACTTAGCTTAGATTTCTATTATGGAAACTTTACAATCTTTCATGTTCTTTTGCCAATGGTCTTACAACAGTGTTTAAAATATTTATGTATTTTTAGGATTTCCTAACATGTCTTACAGCCACGACCCCTGGACCTGTAAAGGGGTGACCTAATTATGTCTCTAATGTTCATTTGCATGTATATTCAGTCTTTTAAATTCTAAAGCATTCTTTTTTTTTCAGGAACTCTAGCCATGTCTTACAGCCACGACCCCTCGACACCTACTTATAAAGGGGTGACAGTAACCCATTCAATAAATAATAATGGTTTAAAAAAGATCTTGATAATAGGAAAGACAGGAACAGGGAAGAGTACTCTGTGTAACGTACTAACTGGAAATGATCCCAAAGCTAAAATCTTTCCAGTTTCCTCAGATGCTGAGTCCTGCACCCAGGCAACTAAGTTTGCTAATGTTTGGTTTAATGGGATAAATCCAAACATATCTCTTTGATTGATACTATTGGATTTGATGATGCTACTAAGAACGATGATGCTGCTATTATTGCAGAACTGGTTGGTAAGCTTAGAGATGATTGTGATCATGTCAATCTGTTTGTGATTGCTGTCAATGGACAGAGTCCAAGACTTGATGGCTCTCTGCTCACAATGATCAGGATCTTTGAGGGAATGTTCTCTAAAGATTTCTGGAAGCAGGTTATCATTGTGTTCACACGTATCCCACAAGATGCTAAAACCAAGAAGAGGAGAGAGAAACAGAATGATAAAAGTGATGAAGATCTTGCTGCAGACTATATCAAGCTAGTGGAGAGACAGTTCAAGGATTGTACAGGATTGAAATATCTCTACATGGATGCTACATATGACAAAGAAGATGAGGATGAAACAGATGCTTTTGAGACTGCTCTCACTGAACTCTGGAAAACCTTGAAGAATTGTCCACCCCTCTCAACAGATCATGTCCAACAGGTAGAGACAGATAATGCTAAACTTAAAAGACATTTTGAAGAGCAAAAACGGGCAAGAGAGGATGCGGAGAAAAAGTTGAGAGATGAAGTGACAATGCTGAAGATTAAAAACATCAATCTTAGAGCCAGAAACATCATCTATAGAGAGCCGGTTAACAATGATGAAAGTTGTGTGATAATTTAGATTTTTTATGATATTTGTATGAAAATAAAAACATTAAGCTGAAATTTCCTAATTTCCAATTAAAAGGAGTTTAAACGTAGTTTTCACTGATCCAATTAGAAAGTTGAATGCCTCACAATGGTATCCTTTACACCTTTATCTAATTTGCAATAATACAGATATAAAAACGCATCAAATTATGTAAAAGTCAATCTTTTGTCACAGCTGCAAAAATGTGCAAGTGACTTTACAAAGAAA